GGCACACTCAGCTCTTTGACAGCAGTATTTTGTCCCTCTTGCTCCCTGGAGTGTTTTCCGCATGCCAACATCAGTCCATTAACATTGAACCCAGCTCTCCTTCCCCTTAGCAACAGCATCAATATTTATGATGTGTAGCTAATGCAGTCTACTTATATGATTTCTAGGATTCCAGGTGGGAATTCTTTGTCCAAAAGACCTCCAGTACCTTTCAGGCTGCGATGCTGCTGTTCCCCTGCAAAACAAGCACTATGGATCTGTGACCTTTCTTTTACAAGCTATTTGATGCTGCAAAGACCCAGCTTGCAGCAGCTTCTCAGTCAGGGAGAATTGAAGTGGGAATACAGGTACCAGAAACCCACCCAATCCTAATGGCTTTACTTAGGCAGGTTTCTGTACGTGCCTCAAAAGGACCAAGCCTATTGATTAATGAACAGATGACCTGACAGGAGGCTGCAGGGAGGTGGGGTCGGCCTCTGATCCCAAGGAGCAAGCGACAGGACAAGGCGAAACGGCCTCAAGCTGCTCCGGGGGAGGTTTAGATGGGGGTTAGGAAACAGTTCTTCACCCAAAGGGTGCTCAGGCACTGGAACAGGCTGCCCCAGGGCAGAGATCGCTTTAGGACTGACACATGCCAGGCACAGTGCAACAAGTGGGATGTTTCCCCTCCTGGCAGCAGTGATCTGAGTGATGGCCCCGATGCTGACAGTTCCTCCATGGAATTCCCAGCCCCAGGAATGGATGTTTCTATCGGGGCACATCCTTTAGACTCAAAGCTTCTCACTGCCCTTTTCTGCCTGGGGCTTCTAGCAGCCAAACCCCAGACTGCTGGCTGCTAAAACCAGTTGAGTGATGATGATGTTCCCTCGCTTTTAATTAAAAGCCTGGCATTTACAAATCAAAAATAGCCACACAGGGAGTTTTCCTGCCCCGGTATTTTAACTAATACCTGTTAGTTATTAATTATTCATGATTAATGAGGGCTTTGCACATCTTCCTTCCACACAACCCTGAGTCATTTGCTATAGCTGTGAGAGAGCTGCTGGGTTTAGTGACAGCAGTGAAGGTCCTCGTCCTTCTGGGGCACCAGGGGAAATGCAGCAGATCTCGACTAATTCATGGCCAAGCTCATCCCCAGGGAGGGGACCTCTGGTCTGCACAGAGCAGAGGGATGGGAACAGAAGCAGGAGGGAGAACTTCACCTCTGGGCTTTGAGGCCAAAATGCCCAAGTTAAGAGCCTAAAGTTCAGCTCTAAAACACTGATCCCAGCCCAAGGTCTTGCTGGGCTGGGGTTCAGGAGTGCTTGGACACTAACAGCCCTCTGGCCTTCACTCTACAAGGAGAACTGGTGAGGAGCTGCTTGCTGACAGCCCCTCCAGCTCCAGGAGCACATTGTCTTTGTCAGCTCATTTGTTTCTTCCAGGTCACCTTTTCCTTCTGGACTCGGTAGGAAAGGATGCTCCAGTTCCACCGGTGTAACATGGGCCTCCAATGCAATGCAAAGCTGTGGGCAAACTGCCCAAGAGGCAGCGGATGCTGAGTGCTGCACCTGTGGGTTGTACTTTCAGCCCAGCCAAGTAGGTGGGATCCTCTCTGTGCATCCCAAAGGCAGTGGCTTTCTCTGCTGCAGCTCACTTGCTGCAGGGTTCCCCACCTACATCTTTGCTTCTGTGGCTGCGATGTTCCAGTCCTGTTGCTGTTTGCTCCATCCTCCTGTCCAGCAAGCGTGCTGGCAGCAGAAATTGGTGTTCTGCTGCAATCTAGTGGTGTAGTGCATGGAACAGGTTCACAGCAGTCATTTCAGGCTGAAGGTAGGCTCCCAAACAGGTTTTCCAGGCTTTAACAGGTAAAGGCTGACTTCTGCGGAAGCTGGTACTTGTGTCCCTGTGCTCTATGCTAACAGTTCCTCCATCCAGTGATGAAAAACAAAAATGATGTCCACTGCTCTTTATAATAAGCAATAGAGATGGATGATGAGCAAGATACATGATGCAGAAAGGTGTTTTGGAAACCATGACCTTTGAATTGTGCCCTCTGGAGAGTGCTGGAAACCTTTAGGGTTATGATGGGGGATGTTACTGACGTCTTGCACCATGAGCAGCTGTCTTGTGCTAGAAATCAAGGTGATAGGAGCTGGCCTGATCTTTCCCAGCTGAGCAAGCTCCTAATCCTCTGGCAGTGAATAAGTACATTGGCGCAGGGAGTGCCCTTCACTTCAGTAGGGGAGTTTGGGAGGGAGTGTGTGTGATTGAGAGACCTGTCTGAAAAGAGCAGGATCAGAGCAAAGCCTTGCTCACATCGAGCTGCTTAATATTTCCTGGTGTTGGACACGGGGTTCTCTGGGAATGCCTGGAGCTGTGCAGCAGAGGTTTCAGTGTGGGGGACTTACCATGCTCTGCTCTTGTGGGTGCTGGTGCCCATGGGCTCCTCTCTGGGCTGCCCCAAAGTGGGGTCCCTGCAGGGAGCATTCCAGACCTGGAGCCTGGTGCAGAGGGATTTGACCCAGAGTGGGGGTTATTAGAGGGAAAACTCAGGGAAACAACTGCTTTGGGATGCTGCTTTGCAAAACCTGCTGGAGGATTGCTTGGGCGTACGGCTGTGGCTGAGGGCTCATAGAGTCCCAGCCTGGTTTGTGTTGGAAGGGACCTTAAAGCTCATCCAGTTCCAACCCTGCCACGGGCAGGGACCCCTCCCATCGGAGCAGGGCGCTCCAAGCCCTTTCGCATGTGGATTTTTACTTGGTGCAGGTCCTCCCGCCCGCAGACCCGGCTCAGGGTCGCTGGTTCCTCTCCTTCACTGCACCCATTGACTCACACGCTACAATCCTCTGCTCCTGAGCCCGTGGTGCTCACACACAGGCTCTGGGTGAGCCACGAGCGGCCCCGCGGGGGGGGTGTGCGCTAAACCCCATCCTCTCCAGCAGGGAAGCGCCGCTGGGCTGCAGGTGGCAGCACCGGATAACGGACGGGCTGCGGGCGCTCCTGGGCATCGCCGCCGGGGAGGGGACCGGGGCCGGTGGGTTCCTGCATCCTTCTGCAGGCGCAGAGGGGCGGTGCTGCTGGCAAGGGAATACCGAGGCCTCTGGGGTTGGGTGCTCCTGAACGGGATCATGGAACCCAGCCTGGTTTGGGTTGAAGGGACCTTAAAGCTCCTCAAGTTCCAACCCCTGCCACGGGCAGGGACCCCTTCCACTGGAGCAGCTTGCTCCAAGCCCCTGTGTCCAACCTGGCCTTGAGCACTGCCAGGGATGGGGCAGCCACAGCTTCTCTGGGCACCCTGTGCCAGCGCCTCAGCACCCTCATAGCAGAAGGGTCCCTTCCCCTTTTAATCGTTAGCTACCAAGTCTGTGCTCTGCTGCGCGCTTGCAGGGGCTGCAAAGGCAGGAGGAGTGTGTTTAAATGCCAGTCCTGGTTTTAAATCCTCTGTGCCAACACCGAATAGAAGTCCAGGGCATTAAGGAGGCAAGATGGGATGAGCTCCGTGTCCTGTGCTCTTAAACAGGGAAGCACGGACTGGCTGCGACAACACTGTGATTTATGTCCTAGGGGCAGTGAAGCTGCTGCTCCATTAAAACCAAGTGCCTGGGCTGTGCATCCATCACTAGCTTTCCCTGAGAGGCTCAAGTGTCATAGCAGGGAGCCCATGAATCCATCTTTCCAAGTACAAATACTTTAAGGCTAATCAATACTTTTTTTGTCCAAAGAGATTGGTTGGAGGAGAGGAGCTCATCTCATTTCTCCTCGTTGCCCATTCCCTGGTTAACCACGTTAATTTGATTGCAGTGAATCCCTAGGGAGACAGCAAAGAAAGGGAACCTCTGTGAGCTCTTGAGTGAGGACAAATATCCAAGTGGATCTGGCAAGGAAGGAGCCCACAAGGGCCGTGTCAGGAGCCAGCCCTCACCTCTCATGACTGGGCTCTGCCTTGCAGGAGGTCACAGATGTCTGTTTGTATGGGACATCCTTCTAGTCCAAGCACATGCTTGCTGCAAAACCCCAAGCACCTAGGCCCAGCTTCATGCTGGTTTTAACCAGTAACTGTCCCAGTTGTATCTTGCAAGTAGAGGGTGTGATTTCCACTGCTCTTGGAATCGGGTTTTGTGTTCCTGCAGCTCCTACTCCATAGGAAACCTGCATTGTACAGATTCTTTTCCTGATCCATGCAGGAAGGTTCTTTTCTCTGGTGGTCCAGGACACACATTTAACTTCTGACATATGAATTCTTCACTGGCTTTCACGGGATGGTGACGCATGCAAATGCAAATGTATCTTTGGGATCTCAAAGCTTTCTTTGGTAAACCCCTAAAGGGCTTGAATATGTATGATGTGCATCAGCATGTTTGATATGTGTTATCACACGGTCTAGGGTGAGGTGTCCCTGCCCATGGCAGGGAGGGTTGGAACTGGGTGATTTAAGGTCCTTTCTAACCTTAACTATTCTATGATTCTGTGTTGTCTAGAATATGTGCTAAATCAACACGGATCAGTGTGTTGCTAGAGCAAGTGCCTATATTAGTTTAAGTTTCACAGCCTCAGCAGAACATTTGCTGTGCAATAAGATGCAGGGCGAGGGAAGTGGCTGCTCTTGCTGTGAGTGCTTCCTACGGGGGGAGACTTTAATTAAACTGACATTCCTGATAACCAAGTCAGCGATGAGATGCCCGGGCTGGGATGTTGGCAGGAGCTGGGTCACTCCATGGGGAGCGTGCCCATGGCAGGGAGCCACCAGCAGGCACCTTACCCAGGGCTGAGGGTGCTGCTGCTCCTCTGCAGCAGCCCCGAGCCTACGGAACCGCCCGGGACCGGTGCTGCAGGCGGGGAAGGGCCGTGACCGGGTCGCTTGTCCTCCCCTGCCCCAAACCCCTGAGCTGGGCTTCGCCCCCCGGTTTGTGGCCCCCGGTTGTGCTTTAGTGCCCGCGGGAGCTTCCTGGGGGTGGCTCAGGCGGGAGGGCGGAGTCGGGGCTGCAGCTGCTAATTACGGGCACCGCTAATGAACCTCTCCTCACTTTCTGCTAGCTTCTGCCTTCCTCCCTGCCTCCTCCCGGGGCGCGCCCGCCCGCCCGGGAGCGCGCAGTGCGGCGCGGCCGCGCTCGGGAGCGCGCAGTGCGGCGCACGGAGCCCGGCTGCGGCGAGTCCCGGCGCTCCCGGAGCAGGTAAGCGGGGAACGGGGGTACCGGAATGTGGGGCGCTCCCGGGGGATGCTCGGGTCCATCCGGCAGCGGCACCCCCCGGGCAGGGCTGGGTGTGGGGCGGGCTGGCTCCGCACCGTCAGCATCATCACCGCGGGTTTGGGACCCGCTGCCTGCAGGGTCTCCCCCTTATTTTGCCCTCCCCGGCAGGTTCCGCATGCGAGGGGGAGCCGGGTACCGGGCTCTGGCATGTGACGGGATTTTTACTGTTACGTCATGACATCGTGTCTATGCGTGGCGATAATATCCCGATATGTCAGCTGGGGAAGGGGGTCGCATCCCGGCTAGAGACCCTGGTGGGACAGGGCACGGCTGGGTCCCCAGAGGAGCAAAGCTCGCCCTGCGGGGCGGCCGCACACTGATGCTTCCCTCTCGTGGTTTTTGGGGTGGATTCGTGTTCATCTGGAACATCTTGGGCTGGGAAAACGCATGCACGGCCTCGGCTGGAGGCCCCTGGGGAAGCAGCGGGCTGGGATGCTGCGCTGGAGGAGCCGGGCCCCGCCGCTGGTGGTGACTGCGTGTTTCCCATCTGCCTGTGCCCGCAGAGCAGCTCCCGGCCATCGATCAGGCTTCTGGAGGTGGGGAAAGTGCTGAATCATTTGTACTCCCGGCTGTCCGGGCGGCTCAGCCTTTCCCGACCCCAGGAATGGGCTGCAGGGACCGAGGGATGCTCTGCTGGCGGAGCGTGGCCTGCAAGAGGTACCCGTTGGCTTGAGCGCGGTGTAGCATCTTCCTCGGTGGCCTTAGCTGTTCCTTGGAGGACGGGGCGCAGAGAGGATGCAGCGCTTGCGGCGTGGCGAGGCCTCCGGGCATGGGGATGTGGGGAGGGACGAGGGATCGGGAAGGTTTTCTCTGGAAAACCCCATCCCTTCTGCCATGGGAAGGGCTCGGGTCTCGCTGCCGGGGCAGGGCTTGCTTTTGCCTTTTCTGTGCTGCCTTTGAGGTTCTTTTTCAAGGTCAGTCCTTGGAAGTGCTCCTGTGGAACACTTGTGAAAGTCAAATGGGGAGTTTCTGAATGCTTTTTGGCAGAGGGGCAGAGGAAAGGGGCAGGGGAACGTGAATATTGCAGGAAAACCGGGATGCTGACAGGCGGAGCGGATGCCTGGCTGGTTTAAGATGGATACTGTGGCGCTGTCAGAGTTTAAGTGTTTCCGGGGTGCTCCCAGCAGATGCTGAGGACAAAAGCAAGAATCCAGTGACTTTTATTGCGATGCTGCCTCCTTTCTTATTGCCTGTGCTCCTGTGAAATCCCCCCCCCCTTCGGCGGCAGGGCTAAATTGATCAGCATCATGACTGCTTTGTTTCCCGAAAACTTTGCAGGGCCTACCTTGAGAGATAATGGCTCCAATTCAGCATCCAATTGTATTTAACGGCTGGGGCTGGGCCCTTGCTGACTTCCCTTTTTTGTGTAGCTGTAACACGAGTACTACATAAATAATGCATGGAGGGCTGCGGGAGGATGGGCTCGAGGTGTTAAATTTGAAGATGGACTTTGCTCCTAGGGATTGAGGCGTCGGGACCGGCCTTGTCTTGCTTATAGGATGGAGCTGGTGGTAACAAAGCTCCATCATCATCCTCAGCGTCTCGCCAGGGCTTACCGCTTTGTGTTGCCTTGGCTGTGGCTCAGGGCCTGATTTAAACTTGTCAGTCAATCCAATCATCTCTTCTGCCGGCTAATGATTAAATGGGAAATATCCCAAGCTCTCAGAAGGTATTAATTCATAATGAATTATTTGCTTTGCTGTGATCTAATTGTCTTCATCTTCATGGGTCTTGTGTAGAAAATCGATGCTGCTGCTGGCAAAGTGCCACTGCAAAGGCTCTCTGCAGTGACCAAGCATCAAAGGTGGTCAAATAACGTGAATAACAGCAAGAAACAAGATCTCTGTCTTCATACCAGAGCTTCTGCCTGAGATCCTGTGGGAAGGCTGCTCACGAGCCCCCTGTGTGTAGGTCTTCACCTGGTTGTACCCCTCCTGGAAGGACAGCACTGAGAGTCCATGGGTGGGCTGTGAGGTGCAGCCTGTGCAGGGAAGGTGTTGAGATCAGGTGTGAATAGTAACACATCGGGGACTAGAAAAGGAAAGCTGCAAATGCAGGCTCAGCTGCTGGTGATTCCTGTGACTGTGAGGAGAGTCAGAGTGGACACGGACAGGAGGCAAAGGGACGTCTCCTGGTGCCTGGTTCTGGTAGATGGGAAATGGTAACTGCACGGCTGTTAAAGCAGTTTAATCGGGGACTGGAGCAGCTCTGCTCTGGAGCCAGGCTGAGAGAGCTGGGCTGGGGCAGCCTGGAGAAGAGAAGGCTCCTGAAGGGGAGACCTGAGAGCAGCTCCAGTGCCTGAAGGGGCTGCAGGAAACCTGGAGAGGGGCTTGGGACAAGGGATGTAGGGACAGGCCAAGAGCTGGAAGTGGATGAGCTTTAAGATCCCTTCCCAAACCATTATGTGATAACTCTCCACTGAAAGGAGTTTTACTTCCATTGCTGTGTTTCAAGCCTGGTCAGGTGACCCAGTGACCTTGGGAGAAGGCTCCGGGGGTGAATTACTCATAGGTACCAAGTACTTTGCCAGACTTGAATCCCCTCTCCATTCCCCTCATCTCTTTAACCCCACTGAGCAGAAATGTGGCAGTTATGGGGGGTCTCTACCAAACAGTGTCTTGATAAACACCAGTGCTTGCAGAAATGGAGCCTCCCTGGGCAGAGGGAAGGCTTGGACAGCTTACCCAGAGCTTCAGCGAGTGTTGGCTCCATCTTGTTCTTGGTGTGATCTGGTAAGGAGCTCACAAGGAAAAGGTTTGCACTGCTTTTTCAGGTGAAATAAAGATGCAGCAGAGTTGGGAAGGTTTAAATCCATCCCAGTTTACACTGTCTCCATGTCCTGCGTAAAAAAAAACCCAATTTTTACTTAGCATAGAATAGTTAGGGCTGGAAAGGACCTTAAGATCGTCGAGTTCCAACCCCATTGCCATGGGCAGGGACACCGGTATGAATAAATGTGAATTAAAGCAAAACCTGGGAGGAGATTTTAGAAAACCCAGGGAAAAAAACCCGCTGGTAATTCCTCTTTGAATCTTCCCTGTTGCCTGGGTTTAGTTTGCCCTTCCCAAGATATTCCCTTGTACCTCCAACCCAAGCAGGCAGCTCAGACCCAGCATTGCATTGAGGGGTTAAAGCTGTTGAAAGGCTCTGGCAAACCTTGTTGGGGAGGTCTCACTTGTCCGCCTGCCCTCGGGTAACTCCTTTCAAGAAGAATTGTAAGTGCTGTGGGATGACTTCTGCCCTCTTCCTCCTGCTTGAAGCAGCTCAGACCTTGCTGCCTTTACCTCTGCTGTCCAGGATACTTGGGTAATTGTAGGGATCCAGCTCAGGATGAACTCGGAGTTGTTGCCACGCAAAATAATCCCCCTCCTTTTTCCTTTTTAAATCCAGATCTGCAAGAAAGCGTTCTGTGTTGTCCTGGATTAAAACAGAGGAGGATTTAGACCTCAGCCTGCTTATAGGGATCACCATCCCTTGTTAATAAGATAGGAGGAGAAGGATTAACAGCTGAACAAGTAGAGATGCTTTTGTGTGGCTAAACAGAAGATCCCAGGGATGCTGGGCAGGGACAAGTCTTTCTTTGCCTTGCTTCTTGAGCTCACCTCAGTTCAGGATCCTTTGGATCCCATCCTCTTGCTGCTGTGATAGCCTGGTGCTGTTATTCTCACTGCACAAGGTGAACCTGGAGGTTTGCTTGAGTTCCTGGCAGGCTTTCTGCTGCTTTATGCCTTTTTGGCAGTAGATTTTGATGTCTTCCAGCATGAGGCCTGATGGGTTCTTACAGACCTTCTAAGTCACAGCAAGCAGATACTGTTCCGCTGTCAGCCTGCGTTCCTCCTGACATGCCCTGGCACAGACAGGCAGGGCTGGCAGCTCAGTGTAAGCTGGGAGGTGGATGGGGCTCACCTTGAATCTGCAGAAAATGTGGTGAAATCCCCTTTCTGCTGTGAAATGTTCACTTTTCCTGCTCCTGCCAATAACCTCAAGAAGCTCCAAGTTAAAAGGGAATGTGGGGTTTCCCAAATTGAGACCACCGGCTAAGGCACTGACCTCTTGCTGTTTTCTGTCCATATTAAGTAGTAGCTCCTTGAGAAGTGGCTTCTGTGTTCTAGGGGTTATTCAGGGAGCTGTGATCCTGACCAAGCACCCAGGCCCTCCGTTTAATTTGCTTGGTGTCCTGCACGGGTTCGGTGCAGCGCTAGGATGGACATTTCCCCACTTGAAGACTTTTCTTTCCATGTAAGACTCAGGAACATGGTTTAGTGGTGGACTTGGCAGCATTAGGTTTATGGTTAGACTCAATGACCTTCAAGGTCTTTTCCAACCTAGATGGTTCTATGGTTCTATGCGTATTTACACTGAAAATGCAAACGAAACCACAGCCTCAGGGTCCCTTCCCACCCAAGCCAGGCTGGGGTTCCACGATTCTCTGCTCGAAGGATGATGTCCCCCTGAGCAGGAGTGAAACCGCTGCGGGTCAGGGAGTTACGAGCGCGGGTGGGTGGGCGGGAGGACGCAGTCTGCCTCTCTCCAGGGTGCTGAACCCTCCTGGGGGTGGCGGGGGCACCCCGGGCTCCACCGCAATCCCTGCCTACGAGCTCCCTGTTGCTCCTTCTGTCCTTGGTGAGGAGAAGGGAGAACAGGCATAGCTGAAACAAGAGGATGCAAGGGAGAGGCATGAATCCCCCCCATCCCCGGGTGGCTCTCAAGCAGTAGTTTAGGTTACCCAGAGAGGCCTGGGGGTCTCCACCCTTGTTGGATGAGCGTTTTAAAGACCCATCTGGATCAAACCCTGAACAACCTGGTCTGACTGTATAGCTCATCCTGCTTCCAGCTGATGGCTGTACTAGGTGACCTGCTGTGGTCCCTTCCAGACAGAAGTGGCTTGTGATCCTGTTACCTTCAGGGTTTTCATCAGCAGG